TCTGAGCTCCTTTTAAGTCCAGTCTGTAGGATACAATTGCTGATGTATTAAGAAACTTTTCCCAGAGGTCATCAGTATCCTACTGCATTGTCAAGTGGCATTATTTTAATGTAATGGCAAAGCACCCATTAGAACAAAATAGGGAAAGAAGTCCCTACAGAGCCACTATCCAGAACTATTTGGATCACAGTCATAACCAATTTGAAGGAGCTAGTCTGAAAATACAGACAGGTGTATTAGCCCTGTGAAGAGAAAAAGACAAATATTAGGGAAATGAGTAGTCCTGGTGCTACAGCAAGAGGGAGCTGAGCTGTAACAGCCTGTATGTTCAGACACTATAAGCTTTTAAATTTCAAGCCTTTTTCAGACCCTTCTTAGAGGCTGAAACCTTCTCAGCTGAGTATATACACTTGTAGACTCTAATGAACTGAAAGTGTCAACTTCCCACTGATGTGTCAGATGGACTTTTTCTCAAGCAGTGGAAACAGTTGTCTAGGCAGCAGTTGCGTGGGGATGCAGACACCGAGCTGCTAAAGTACCTTTTATTATAAGATTGAAACTGAGGAGAAGCCATTCATTCTTTACCTCTGAATCAGGAAGTCCACTCATTCAAGCAATCATCAGCTCGTGCAGCAAAACACATAACATTCACACCATCCCCACCACTCCTCCTCCAAACATTAACTCACAAAAAGTCACCCAGAGGCTTCCTCAAGCCCACCAGGAAAATCAGTAGGGGCTTTTTGAATATGTAGCTTATGGTAGTCTAAGGTCAACAGCTAATTTCAGCCAGGGAAAGCCCATCGCCATTTATTTATAATTTCCTTAATGTAACTTAACCAGAGTAAGTTAAAAAGGGAAAGGCCCGAGACATCTGTGATACAGCCAAAATGAAACAAGACTCCTCATCAACAAAACCAGCCTGAGACAGTATTAACAAACATATCGCACCACATGCTAGGTTGAATATGCTAGTCACCACTAACAAACACCTTCACTGCAATTCTCACACCACTAATGTCACATAATGGAACAACCTGCTGCAAGAACATGATGTTTTACCTCTAAAGGCTGATATAAACCAGGTGCTTCACATTTCATGGTTTAACATTCAGTATTTCAAATACATTACATAAATGCAAATTGTCATGAAGAGCTTCTTACTGCAGTACCTAGAAACGGGAGATGTGGATCCTGTACTCATCTCACTGCCTCTATCCTTCAGTTCCTTAGGCACTGAGGTAATACCTAGCTTAATAGATGAAGCATCAAATGGTTTGAACAGTGAAGGTACTACAGCAGCCCAAGATACACAGAAAATAGTCCTTCCTCCTCTACCATTATCACAGGTGTGGGTGGGAACCATGTAAGGAGAAAGAAGTGGGAAAAGATGGGGGGTTTCAAACAAAGGGAGGGAACATGCTTAAAGAAAATGGGAAATTTGGAATGGCAATGCTGCTTCAAATTCTTGACATGCATGGGTTTAATCCCTATTCTTTCCCCAGAACTTGCTTAAAAGCCGTAACATTGCTTTTACGAATACAGACAGAAAGCTGAGAGACATGAAAGCTGAGCCTAAGGCTAGAAAGTAAATGAACAATAAATAAAACACTAATTTATTACAACCAATAAACCAATGGACAGATTGCCCACAAGTTGCACTGTCTATCCTGAAAAGGTTTTCAAGGCCAAACTGGATAAACACCCAAGTAACCCAATCTGATCTCAAAGCTGACTCTGCTTAAGGCAGGAGGTTGGACTCGAGACTTTCACAAGTCCCTTCTGACCTGGATTATCCTATCCTGCATTCCCATTCTGCAATCTTCCTGGGTTCAGCCTCTACCTAGAGGCTCTCAAACTCTTCAATCTTGGCAATACAGGCATGTTCATGGGAAAACTTCAGAACTGAAATTCCCCTTGGAAGCTTTCCAGCCCTACAATATTAAAGTAAGGAAGTCAGTATCCCTCTTGCCCAACAAAAAGGAGCCATCAACTCCATGATCACCTGTTACCAGGTAGTGCAACAGCTTTGACAGCACACCAAAGAGCGGGGTGCAGCACAGGGAGGCTGCTAGCAAGCATCCAAAAGGATGCTCGGGCTGCAATGTGTATGTTAAGACTTCACTACCCTGGCAGATTTTGGTGATCACTAGAAACCACAATCACGGTGAAAAATCACAGCCCACACTTCATGTCTGCAACTGGGCAGGTGTATGAGGCTGGGTAGCAGGGAGATAGCATCTTGCAACTGGCATGATCCGAACCCATCTCCCTGAAGTGTCGAACCAGACTGAGTCATAAAGAATTGAGTCAGGTTCAAAGTTTGAAAGGGAAGCCAAAACCCCTCCAAAATGCCCCATTTCCTGGTTATCTGTGGCCAGCCCTTCACTGGGTGCAGACTTTGCCCTAGTGCACCTCGCGTCTCCCAAAAGCACTGTCAGCAGGGGCAGGATGCTGCACCTGCAGGAATCCTCTCTAGTGCGTACCACCAGCCTTCCATGGTCTGTGCTAAACATTCAATTTCTTAACACACGGAGAACTGCAATTAAGATTCCAGCCAAACTTGTAAAATGAATCTCTCATCCGTTTTTCTCATCTTTTCCTGGCTAGCAACACCCCGGGCCAACTGCCTGAAGGAACCAGATACGATTTCTAGCACTTTTTCTGATGCTGTGTTGGTTGTCCCATTTATTTTGGAAGGAACAGCATGAGACTGCATTTGCAGCTTTATGGTTACCTGAAAATTCATCACTTTTCTTCCTCCTGGAGAGTGCAGCTGCTAAGTTTTCAAAGAACTCACCCGTCCTTTAAGCTATGCACACATGGGTAACAAGGACAAAGAACAGGAAATTATTACGAATTTAGCTAAAATTTAAGACATTCCTGATGTTGATCCCTAAGCATGAAAAAGCATCTAGTGCTGGCAGTAGAAAACAGCAGGGGAAGAAGACAGTCAACATAAAAGGAAGCTCTCTTGGCCATGAAGCACAAGAACTTCTGTACTGGCCACACCACTCTCACTATGGCCAAAGTACTTCCTCTCCTGGGAAACTTCAACAAGGAGCTGCCAAAACAGCACTTTAAAAGGGAGAAGTATTTCAGCAACTCATCCTAGAGGAGAAGCAGGACATAACCTCCACACTCCAAAAGGACAGGATCCACACAAACTATTTCGGTGTTTCTGAACAGTGAAATTCAGATACACTGTTCTGAAACCCAAGTTTCTGATGTAACCAAGCTTCTGCCTTGGTTATGCAGACAAAAGGCAAACCAAATTGCACTTAAGTGGGCTTGGACTAGATGATCTTCAAAGGTCCCTTCCAACACTAGGGATTCTGTGAACACTGTGATGGCACTTTTAACCTTTCCAGTTAACATTTAGGTCTCATCACTGTTTAAAAAGTTACAGCTTTTGCAATCCTGGCAAATCCACTTTGGACAAAACACAGCAACTGATGCATGTTAATCTTCTGCACAGATTATGGAAGCTCTTAAGTGATCTACAAGCATCACAGACTCCTTACAGAAATTCAGCATTCAGTATCCTGTCTCACTTGTCAAAGGCAAGATTATTTTCTCACTTGAAGACCAAGGCATTGGAAATCTTTTTAAATCAAGTGTCAAATTTCATTGTGAAATCTCAATAAAAAGTTTTAAAAGGCAACTTTTCATTCCACTGGAATAAACCCAGCCCATCAGACCACCATGCTCAAACACACCTGGCCAAGCTCTTTGCTTGGTCTTCTTCCCTTGCTTTTGCACAGCAGCAGATGCTTTCAACTCCCTCTATGCTTCTTGGCAGGAAACAGGAGATTTAGTAGCTGAAATAGATGAATCCATTCTGAGCCGATCATTAGCTAACTCCCATGCAAATGAGTACATATGCTATGAGACAAGGGTCCTCACTCAATGCAAAACTTGCTACTCATTAAAGCTCTCAGTTCCTTTCTGTTAGTACAAGTAAGGTGAACAAAAGTCATGTGCTTTCCTGGAAATTCTTTTGAGTTGGTAGAAACCACTGCCACAGAAGACAATCACTGCTGGAGATCACATCTATACCATAGCTGGACTACATGAGGGCCTGTATCTTTACAGTTTCTTAGGCGTTAAACAAGTAAGCCAGCTGATTTACTTCCTCATAGATAGGACAGTGATACTGCACTAGGTAGCAGGTCCACGCAATACTGATCTCATCATGTAACCTACACCATTAATTAGTATTTAATATTCCCATGACCTAATTGTTGCTGCTAAACTTTTGTATGACACCTTTCAGAAGACAATTAACTCCTTATGCCTGTTGCATGTTCTGAAGACCAAGAACTCTTCAGAGGCATGAAAGAAGTATTTAATAATAACGACGTTATCTTTCAGAAGTACAAAAATGATACTTGGTTTTAGGGTCACTTCACAGCTCCTATTCCCACAAGGAAATGTGGTCACAAGTGATGGAAAACAGCAGCCAGATTAACCTGATACTCTGACTGACACGGTAAAAGACAAATGTACTAAAGCCAGGAGCAAGAGGTGAAACTGACCCATAGAAAACTGAGCATTAAGTCTGGATTGCAATCTGGCCACAGCTGTGGGGTACACTTCCTGATTTATGAGAATTTACCAACAGATTACAACAGACTAGGAAATCCACAGCTCCTATCCATCCCAGCAACTGCCTGCTCCGGCACAGGACACGTTTTTACTGTGCCAGGAATGAATGAGCTAGCAAACACCAGACTCCTCCCTCTTTCTCTCATCCAATGCTGTTCAGAAAAGAGATAGGAATTTTACTTCTTTCTGACCCCACCAAACTTCCTTGCAGAACAGCTGACTGCAAGACAGGGCACTCTGTCTGGTTTTGGCCACACTGCGTTAAGAACCACTACAGTGTGATGGTGGCATTTCAGGCCACGAGGTAACAGTTTAACTGAACAAACTAAAATCCATAGTACTAATTCCTAAGTTTTGCTGTCCAAACCCCTCAAAAGCACATTAGCACTTACACAACCCAATCGCTCCACAGGTATTTCCAGGGGACTTCAGCCACAAGGCCTGTAGGAGCAAGAAGGATCGATGAGATGGTCTGGGAGGTGGTGTGAGTAAACAGATGAGCAAGAGAACATTCAGTGCAAAAATTATCATGAAGCAAAGAGCAAATGCTTCACAGTGCTGCTCCTCTTTCTTTATCCAGTAACAGTTATTTTATAAATCCTCATGACACAAGACAGACTTGAAATTTAGCCACAGACTTGAGCCTCTTAATAACTGGGTTCAGTTTCCAACTCTGTTTCAGACTTGCACTGTAGCTGGGGCAAAACTGCTTCATCTCTGTGCTGATGATTCTCTGTAAGGTGAAGTCATACTTGCCTCAGCCTCAATTTATTCCATTTGTACAGCAGTGTGGGAAACCAGTGTCAGCTTGAAGGCATCTTTACCACAGTTCACATATTCACAAATAATCCTCCTAAGGAAAGACCAATTCCCAGTGCATAAGGAAAAAGCTATTTAAGAAAGTAAATGGATTAAATCAGAAAAATCAGAACCAAAACAAAAGTAACACATTTCCAAAGAATTGTAGGACACAAAAACTTGCATTAAGATTTACAACAATCTTTTTACATGCTTTACAAATCAAGTTAAAATGCAAAAAGGAATTGCTAAGCACCTTATATTTCTCTTCATTTACCCACAGGTACCTAATTTTGTTATCATACAAGATACAATGCGTGAAATTCTGTAGAGCACAACACTTGCTCAGCATAGCCATGAAATCACACCTTATAAAGTTTAAACCTATAAAAAAAATGTTACTACAACCAGAAAAGAAGTAATAAAAAGGAAGTAGGATTTTCAGAAGTAGCCTCTGTGCAATGTTTAATCCTTAAACATCTAAAATAACATTACCTTTAAGACCAATACCATATTAAACCATTACATGTTAAAACAGAGCATCTGCATTTACACACATAACTTAAGCAATTAACATGCTTTTCATATTTATGCTGCATTATCTCCTGAAAAATAACACACATAATGCATTCCATGCTGTACCCCCTCAATTAGGCTCTGTTGTTTTTTATTTCTCCCAGTCATTTCAAAACTCTATCACTTCCACAATTTCTCAACCAGCTGCGCAGTTTCTTCACTGAGCTAACTTTTGTTTGGGTGATTTTGTATTACAGCAACACTCAAGATTGCTTAAGTTGCCAACGGCTAAACATTACATAGTGTCAATTGATTTCAAAGCCCAATCAAGAGTATAAATTATAATCCTCCAGTTTCAATACATAAGTGGTTTTGGTTGGGGGTTTTATTTTGTATTTTTAGTTGTTTCTTTTGGGTTTGTTTTGTGTTACAAAAAAACTGGGCAATGAGCAAAATTAGCCAGCCAGCCTGGAGACAGTGATCTACAACTGTGTTTGGGTTTTTAATACATGCTCCTCCTACAACATCATAGCATGTCACATTGACATACTGCTGGTACGAAAAAAGGGAACTGGCAAGCAGGTCATGCCAGAGCACATCATTTAAAGGATTCCAACCCCAGGACAAACATACCTTTCTATGGTTAATGACTTCAACGTTTTAAGATTTCTTTTCCATGTTTAGTCTACTTGCTTGTGTCACAGATTATCATGTCCTAGTTCAAGGCATTGCCAAAATCTACGTCTCTGCCAATGCCTAATTCATTCAAGTCCTCGACTCCTACACATAGTATGTTCAAGGCATGTAGAGATGATGCTCCTATTGCACAAATGTAGGTTAGCATCCAAAAGAGGCACCTGCATAAAGAGAAAAGTAATCAGGCTTTTGCCTTACAACTCTCTTCTTACCCACTCAGTTTATCATCAGTGATATTATGCCAGCTCCTCCTAAAAATCACATCTGAAGACTACGGGCAGTCCCAACTATTATTACTGTTATTTTTTTCTTTAATAAAAACGAACAGTCAATATACAATTTCATGCCTCTTGACTCATGATACAGAAAGAATGCGATTTTCTGCAAGACAGCCTTCAGAAAGTTTCTCCACCTGGTGAAATACATGAAGTATGACCAACGTAAATGACACAAAGGCTCAGAGGCAGCTGGAGAGAATGAATGACAAAATTTCACCATAAACCACAAAACAGCTTAGGCAAGTGACACGCACCACAAGTTATATTACTGAAAAGGTCCATGAATTCTTTAAATTGACTATTCAGACATGCAGTCTTAGTCTAGGAATGAAAGAGATGTTATCTTTTAAAGCCTGTAAAGTAGATTGATGGCACAAAAAGGAATACGTAGAAGATCCTTGTAAGATAAATGGTATCAAACAGCATTTTCATTATTCTTTTCAAATGGAAAAGTTTGTTTATTTGTTAACTAGAAGACAAAGACTTTATCTGCAGATTGTTACAGAGAGTAAGATTACACTCAATTAAGAAATCTAAGAGGTGCCCTTGCAGGAAAGGATAAAGGCAACAGTATTGTTGCTATGTTAGAGACTAGTGTAATAGGGCACTTGCTCTTCCCCTCCCATTCTCAAGGAAACCAATCACATCTTTCACAGTTAGCAAGAGTGCACAACTGTGTTTCTGCTTCCAGGCGTGAGAATTCACTCACTACAGCAAACTGCTCATACCATAAATACAGCATACATAAGTGAAGAGAATGATGTAGTACTGTTTAGAACTTGCCTTTCCCTGTTAAAGACTGCTCCCAAGAGGACCTCTCTTACAAACCGGCTAGTTCTAATTTGCCCTTAACTTAATAGAAAACAAATTAATCAAAAAAGACCCCATGTCCTGGTTTCAACTAGGACAGTTTTCTTCCTAGCAGCTGGTGCAGTGCTGTATATTGGCTGTAGTCTGAGAACAGTGCTGATAAATAACACTGATGTTTTAGTTGTTGCTGAGTAGTACCTACCCCAAATGAAGGACTTTACAGTCTCCAATGCTCTGCCAGTGAGGAGAGGCACAAGCTGGGAGGAAGCAGAGACAGGACACCTGACCCAAACTAGCCAAAGGGATATTCCATATCACAGCACATCATACCCAGTATAAAAACTGGGGGGAGCCATGCAGAAAGTAACGATCACTGCGCAGGGTTGGGTATCGGTCAGCAGTTGATGAGCCATTGTATTGTGTATCACTGCTGCTGGTTGTCATTGATATTTATTATTTTTAATATATTTTTGTTATTTTCCTTTTATCATTATTATTATTTTACCTTAATTATTAAACTCCCCATCCCACTGCTGGGGGAGTAAGTGGTACTGTTTGATACTTAGTTGCCAGCCAGGGTTACACCACAATCACCTGAAAACCTCAACTGCCCTTAGCAATGCTGCAGACTCCATTTAATGGTCAAACAACAGATGGACAAAAACTTGTACAAGGTCTTGAAGACACAGTACATGAGACAAGGTATACACATTCAAATATGTGACTTCAAGTGACTCAGTTCTTGCTTTTGTTCCCTTTCAGAAGAAGACTTCACCGATTATGTATTTCTAGTAAATACGGAACCATCTTCCCATGAGCTGATGCAGGTAAATAGCTTGCATCATGAAGTCTGTTGAAGCAACAGCAGGCAGCACTAGTCATCTGGTCTGATGAGTTCAGCATTCCAGCTTTTCTTCTCCAGCACCCTGGATTCAAATCTTGTATGTCAGTCACAAGCAAAACAATCTTAGACAACAGCTTTCTGCTTGCATGCAACTTCCCCCAAACAGCACAAACTACTGTACTAACTTAACAGCTGTTTCAAAGAAACCAGAATGGGAAAACAAGTCTAGACATCTTTCCCTCAGAAACGTCAGACCTGCATCAGCTGATCAACTCACACATTTCATATGGAATGCATGCTACTTTATGCAATGTAAGTGACATAATTTGTGAGTACATCAGTGTAGATTTTTATTTATTCTTTCACGTAATACTAGGTGCTGCTGCTTCTTTACAGGTATTACATCTCCTCAGCTGCCTCCTCTCTTCATAAATGGCAAGTTGGGCTCAAGTATTATTTGTAGCATAAAAAAAAATTACCTTCTCAGATGTTCCTTGTCAGTTAACAAATCTGAAATTGTCAGGTATTGTCAAAGAGATGCTGGTTTCACTTTTCTGTTCAGCTTCCAGAAAAACTGGTGAAGAAAATGGAGGTTAAGAGTTGACATGGGATTCCTAAATGTGCATCACTGCATGTTGTCTGTCTTTTGGGAGGTATCGAAAAAAAACCCAACCATCCAGAAGATCCCTCTTGACAAACTGCATCCATGCAGATCCTTGCATTGCTGTATTTCTGCAACACAGACATTCTGGAAGGAAAATTTAGGTTAAGCAAACATCCAAACTATGCACAGTCTGCTCTCCTGGCAACTCTGCCTGAAGAGCTGCTGATGACACAGTAAAACCACGTATTTCTGATTAACAATACCTGCTGAAACAGCAATGTCAAAGGCTATGGACTCGTGACTAAAGTGTGAAAATGCGTCAAGCCATCTTAAAACAAGACATTCAAACTAGTAGGTTTAAAAAAACCCCCAACCAAACACACACTGAGAAAAACCTACCAGAGAAGACACAACCAATATATACCTTCTCCCCTTTTTTCTACAGAGATACAAATTGGACACCATCCACTTTACAACCCTGTTTGTACCTATCATCTTTATCAGGAAACCAGTAAAACCCAAAAGTAATTACAGGAAAAAACAGGTTTACCTGGCATGTCTTCCAACAGTTTTAGGTAGATCCAGAGCACACCAATAAGCAGTTTCTTCCATGTCTCTAAGTACTGAGCTGGGAGAGGCCCAACTATACAGCTAAAAGCAGCAGCAAAGTAAACACACAGACCGGTGAAGAACAGAAATGAAGCCCAAAGGTTTGGTATTGTTATTTCTTTGTGCAGAGCAGAGCAGAGCAAAACATCCTCCTTTCAAGAACTTCACTTACATCAGCTGCCTGTAGTAGCAGTACAAAATACAACATTTTAATGTTTGTTTAACATCTTCAGTTAATGACAAATGGGATAACACAAGACACACAAGTTGTTGGCAATTAAGAAGCCATTTAAAATTTGGAAAACTAGAAATTTTTGAAAAGTTCTTTCTGATGGAAAGGAGTAGGAAGGGAGACATCTTGA